TGGGAAACAGGAGCAGGTTGACAGAAAGCCAGAGGCTAAAGGCTAGGGTTCTTGGATTATGACATCTGCTCTTTTTGTTATAGCTGTGATTAAGATGGAAGGAGGCACGGAGAATGATCTACGCATCCTGGAGCAGGAGGAGGAGGAGGAACAGGCAGGAAAGCCCGGGGAGCCCAGCAAGAAAGAGGAAGGCCGGGCTGGGCCAGGGCTGGGGGATGGAGAGCGCAAGGCCAATGATAAGGATGACAAGAAAGAAGATGGCAAACAGGTATGAGTGACGGGCCACTGAGGGGAGAAGGGTAGGAATGGAGCTTCTTCGGTGGTGGTGGTGGGGCCCCAAGGGGCTGGAACCAAGGGGGTTGTATGTTGTGTGGGTGGGGATAAAGAGGAGTTTCCGGGCTGAGCTGTGGAGAGTGGGAGGGGACTGTCTGATAAAGGTTGAAGGGGAGATAGGACATCCCCAGTGATTGTCTCTTCTTGTAGGCTGAGAATGACAGTTGTAATGATGACAAAACTAAGAAATCTGAGGGTGATGGGGACAAGGAAGAGAAGAAAGAAGACTCTGAGAAGGAAGCCAAAAAGGTAGGCTATTTCTTATGTGGGGGTCAGAATGTCAGCACTGGGGTCTTGGATTCTGACCCATCCCCTCCTGCTTTGGCTCCCACAGAGTAGCAAGAAACGGAATAGGAAGCATAGTGGTGATGACAGCTTTGATGAAGGAAGTGTATCTGAGTCTGAATCTGAGTCTGAGAGCGGCCAAGCTGAGGAGGAGAAGGAGGAGGCTGGTAAGTTTTATTTTCTGCTTGTAGTCTATTCTCTTCCAACTGAATGGGGTGGCGGGGTTTGAGAGAGGTTGGTGAAGTTGATGGGGTGCAGACTTGTGGGGGGTGGTAACAGCTTAGTTCTGTATCCTCTTCTCCAAATTCAACAAAAAAATTCATCAACTCCCACCACCTCCTGCACAGAAGAAGTACTCAAGGAAAAGGAGAAGCCCAAGGAGGAAGAAAGGGAGAAGCCTAAGGAGGCTCCAGGACTGGAATGTAAACCCCGGCCCTTGCATAAGACTTGCTCTCTCTTCATGCGCAACATTGCACCCAACATCTCCCGGGCCGAGATCATATCTGTGAGTGGGGGAAATGGTGTTGGAGCAGGGATGACACCCAGACCCTTAACAACCAGGCCCTGTTCCTTGAGGAGAGGGAAGGCACAAGGCACTGCACCTCTGGACACATACCCCATTTCTGTAATAGGGATGCCCTTTCCATGGGGCCAGACCCTTCTAGGGCTGACCCTGGTTGCACAATTTGCTTGTAGGTGCTGGTGTTCTTAAGCCCTTTATTGGGAGGGGAAAGATTAAAAGGCATTAGTTCCCTGGGGTTCTGAGGACTTGGGGATTAGAGGAAGAAATGAATTACTGTATCATCACTAAATAGGGTTTATTTTCCTCTGCTTTTCCAGCTTTGTAAAAGATATCCAGGCTTTATGCGTGTGGCGCTGTCAGAGCCCCAGCCAGAGAGGAGGTAAGGAACTGAAAACACCGTGACGCTGGATACCTGGGAGAGAAGATGCAGGGGAAGGTTAATGGCCAACACTCCCCCCAACTCCTGGATGATGATGATGTTTTTGTTCTTTTCTTTTGGTTAGATTTTTTCGTCGTGGCTGGGTGACCTTTGACCGCAGTGTCAATATCAAAGAGATCTGTTGGAACCTACAGAATATCCGAGTGAGTGGAACTGTTTTGAGGAAGGGAAGTTGGTGCTCCATGCTCCATACAGATTCCTTTGTCTGTTCATGGATTCATTCATTCTGCACCCTACTTCATCCATTAAGTCTACTCTAATGAACTGTTTACTGTTGTCTCTGGGCTAGGCTCTGGGGCTGTTACCATGAACAAGACATAGCTGATCCTTGTCCTCAGGAAGCTCATAGTATTATCACTGATGCTAATAGGGCCAGTGTCGGAGTTGCTGCCTCTTGGGCAAGTGGTGGTAGGGCAGGTGAGCCTTCTGATGACCTGTTTCCTGCAGCTCAGGGAGTGTGAGCTGAGCCCTGGCGTGAACAGAGACCTGACCCGTCGTGTCCGCAATATCAATGGCATTACCCAGCACAAGCAGATAGTGCGCAACGACATCAAGCTGGCAGCCAAGCTGATCCACACACTGGATGACAGGACCCAGCTCTGGGCCTCAGAGCCTGGAACACCTCCTCTCCCAACAGTCAGTGACTCCCCATGAGACTTTCAGAAGTAGCTGATGCCACCTCATCTGCTCTGGGCACTCTGGTCTTGAGCTGTAGCAATGACTCCTTGTACCCATTCACTTCTGTTTGCCCCTTCCTGTCTGGGTAACACCACCTTCTCCAATTCCCAACAGAACAGACTGGCGCTAGTAATTATTTGTGGGTTTTTGTTGTGTGCTGTTGAGTCATTTTTGACTCATCCCTATATGACAGGGTAGAACTGTCCCACGCCGTAATCTTTATGGGTGCAGATCACCAGGTCTTTTTTCCCCACAGAGAGGCTGGTGGGTTTGATCTGCCGACCTTTCAGTTACCAACTGAGCGCTTGAACCATTGCACCACCAGGGCTCCTTATTTGTGGGTTAGGGTGGGACAATGAAGACAAATAGTGAGGCAGAGATAACAGGTCAAGTGAGATCTGAACTCCTTTCCCCCTCACATTGGCTTTTCAAGTGAGGTCCCTGGGCCCTCTACCCTGATGGTTTCTCTCTGTCTTGCCTGCCCCTGCTTATCACCCTCCCCCTCCTCCCTCCCCTCCAGAGTCTGCCCTCTCAGAACCCAATCTTAAAGAACATCACTGACTACCTGATTGAGGAGGTGAGCGCTGAGGAGGAGGAGCTGCTGGGGAGCAGTGGTGGAGCCCCCCCTGAGGAGCCTCCGAAGGAAGGGAACCCAGCCGAGATCAATGTGGAGCGGGATGAGAAGCTGATCAAGGTGCTGGCTTTAGCCATGTGGGCGTGGGAGAACATGTCTCAGGGTATGAGTGTGGTGAACCAACAACAGGTCCTGACTGGCTTCTCATTTTCCTTTAGGTTTTGGACAAACTCCTTCTCTATTTGCGCATTGTACATTCCCTGGATTATTATAACACGTGCGAGTACCCCAATGAGGATGAAATGCCCAACCGTTGTGGCATCATCCATGTTCGGGGCCCCATGCCACCCAATCGCATCAGTCACGGAGAAGGTGAGCTCCGGGACTCCCCATTCCTGATTCTTCTGAGGTTTTCCTTTCTCTCCCACTGCCTCTAGTCTTACTCCTGCTCTGATGGCAATGCTCTGTCACTCCTTCCTCCTTTAAATTCCCTCCTTCTCCCACAATTCCCTGCTTCTGGCTCCCTTCTGCAGCCTGCTTTCCATCTTTCTTCCCAAACCACAGTGCTAGAGTGGCAGAAGACGTTTGAGGAGAAGCTGACTCCACTGCTGAGTGTGCGAGAATCTCTTTCCGAGGAAGAGGCCCAGAAGATGGGTCGCAAAGACCCTGAGCAGGAAGTGGAAAAATTTGTCACCTCTAACACCCAGGAACTGGGCAAGGATAAGTGGCTGTGTCCTCTCAGTGGCAAGAAATTCAAGGTCTGGGATGCTAGAGAGTTGGCTTGTTAGAACCATGGGAGGAGGGGTTTGGGCCAGGAAGTCTAAAGGCCTGGGGAGGGAACTGGGGCTGCCTGGGTACTGGCAGGAGGAGAGAGTGATTCTTCCAAATCGGGTCTGTGGCAAGGATTTAAAAAAAAAAAAAACAAATCTTTTGCCATGAAATCAATTCCGACTCATAGCAACTCTATAGGACAGAGTAGAACTGCCCCATAAGGTTTTCGAGGCTATAATCTTAAGGAGCAGACTGCCATATCTTTCTCCTGTGGAGCGGCTGGGGGATTTGAACTGCAGACCTTTTCGTTAGCAGCCAAGTGCTTAACCACTGTGCCACTGGCACTCCTTGTGGAGAGGATTAGGGAACCCATATTCCTTGCTCTGTCCTGACCCTCTCCTCTTCACCCAGGGCCCTGAGTTTGTACGCAAACATATCTTCAACAAGCATGCAGAGAAAATTGAGGAAGTGAAGAAGGAGGTGGCATTTTTTAACAATTTCCTCACTGATGCCAAGCGCCCAGCTCTGCCTGAGATCAAGCCAGCTCAGCCACCTGGCCCTGCCCAGAGTAAGATACGATCCATGAGGGTCTGACACATTGTCTTTCCCTTGGCTGTCCAGGGACTCCCTTTAACCTGTCATCCCTAGAGAAGTTTCTACCCTGCCCTTAGACCATATTCCTAGAACTGTTGTTTCCTGTGCCTTCCCCCTCCCCCCCGCAGTAATTCACATCTCTCTCCGTGTTGTACTCCCCCCAGGCCTGACCCCGGGACTCCCCTACCCACACCAGACGCCCCAGGGCTTGATGCCCTACGGGCAGCCCCGGCCCCCCATCTTGGGCTATGGAGGTAAGTATAGGAGGGGAGAGGAAAGGGCTTGGTGGTTGTGTGGGGCTGGGAGAAAGAAAACTTAGCTAGGACATAATTGAGGTGGTAATTTTTCAACTCAACACTGATGTTTTTCATAGCTGGTGCTGTCCGCCCTGCAGTCCCCACAGGAGGGCCTCCATACCCCCATGCTCCGTATGGTGCCGGCCGAGGGAACTATGATGCCTTTCGCGGCCAAGGAGGTTATCCTGGGAAACCCCGCAACAGGTGAGAATGAGCTATGATGTCTAAGCTTTCTGGCTCTGTTGCCCTCTTCAAACTCCCTTTAGGGATCCTCAAGCCTCATCCCACTTTACCTCTTACCTCACAGGATGGTTCGTGGAGACCCAAGGGCCATTGTGGAATATCGTGACCTGGATGCCCCAGATGATGTTGATTTCTTCTGAGCCATCCACTTTTCCTCACTTGGTATCATCTGTACTTAAGACTGTTTTGTCGTATACAGCTCTGAGAATTTTTTGTATGTTCAGCCCTACTGCCAATAAAAGCACTTCCCCAGTGATGCCTGACTGAGTGTATATTATGTATCTCCCCAAATCCTCTCAAGATTGGCTGGGGCCATTGTCAGCTGGGACTTGCCAACTTTATTGATGCCAAATGCCCCAGGCTTTGCTGGGACTACCTTGGGGCTTGCCATCAGACAACTCTCTTTGCCTTTGAGAAGTGGAAGGGTGTGCATGTATGTGGCCAGAGACATGGGTTGGTGCCAAAGGCAGTCTCAGTTCTGGGCCCTTATCCTCAGTCCAGGGTATGTAGCTGCTTTTCAGAGTTATGGCTGGTCAAGCACAGGTTGTAGAAGGAGTTTGGGTCAAAGGCTTTGGTTACTTCTTGCCAGCCCACCCACCCAGCAGCCTGTAGTTCATTGGGGTTTTTCGGGGCGCCCCAGCAGTGAGGGTCCAGTACCAGGACGTAGGCTTCCGTGCCTGGCCCCAGGCAGACTCCCAGCAAGGCCCTGGCTCGGGCATCCGCATCTCCTCCCACCATTACAGGCCCCCCACCCCCTGAAAAATGGGAGTAGAGCTGCTCCACTTCCCCCTTAAGCCCCGCGCCACGGGGCACGTGACATAGGCGCCCCTGGGGCCCTCCGAAGTGGGAGAGGCAGAGGCTGGCTTCTACACAGCCAATCCAGCTCTGGGAGCCCCGGAATCCGGGGGGCTTGTCGCCCATGTCCTCCAGGGCTGCCTGCACGGCGCTCAACCCCGGCACGCCGGCGGACTGGCCCTCTGGCCAAGAGCACAGCGTTTGCAGAGTGCGGTAGCCGCAGCCCCAGCCCCGGTCGTCCACACCATCGCAGCCGTAGTGATAGTAAAGGTAGTGGCCCAAGAGGAGGGCCAGGCGAGCGGAGTCGCGGCATGGTGGGGCCAGGCCCAAGTGGACGTCTCTCAGCGGCTCCAGGACGGCTGGCGGGAGAGGCGGTCGCTCAGGCCGGGCAGATGTGTCGTCCTGGCGACGAGGAGCGAATTCAGTGAGAACGCCGGGCTTCAGCCCTGCCTCTGGGCCCCAGGTATTGCGCTAACTGTGGGCAGGACCGGTGCACAGTTCCGGGGACACTCACCCAGCTCTAGACAACCGGGAGCTCCCACAAAGCACCGCTGCGCCCGCCCCTCCGCTGCGCGGTCACCGCTGGCCTCACAGCGCAGGCGCGCGTTGGGTGGGGCGGGAGTCGACGATACATACGGCGGCTCTAGCCGCAGGCGCCCTGCACCCTACCTCAAGGAGGCGCACGTCCTACAGCTTGTAGCACCCACGCTTCCAGTTACTGAGCCCCAGCGATCCAGGCATTCTGCCCCTACCCCCGGCTCCCCAGTCGCGCACACTCCTGTGGCTGTAACAGTTTATTGGCAGCCCAGAGGGGCGAAGGCACCGCAGGGGAGGGAGCCCGGCCCGAGACATGCAGAGGACCGGGAGCCCCCGGGGAAAGTCGGGAGTGGGGGCACGGTCTGGGGCTCATCTGTGTTATATCCCAGCCGTTAAATAAACAGTATATACAGCAAGGAGGCGGGACGGGCAGGGTGGCGGGTGGGAGGTGGTCCGGGGGTCCCGCCTGGGTCACAGGTCTGAGCAGCGATCCTGCTTGCTGTAATGGTCAAACTGGTTCTTCCAGTGCACCATGTAGGAGCTCCAGCGGTGGAACTCGGCCTTCCACTGGCGCTCCGCTTCGTCCAGCGTGTCTACGGCCAGGGTGCCGGCAAGTGGGTGGGGGGAGGACGACACGGGAAAGGTCGGGAAATGGACGTGGTGGGTGGGGAGTGTGGATGCGAGGAAGGCACATGGACAACGTAAGGAGGCCACGTGAGATGGTGGAAAGGATGAGGAGAATACGCGAAAGACGGAAAGACGAGAGGGAGGATGAAGATAGAGGCGGGGCCAGAGAAAGATGGCAGGAAGGAGAGGGAGGAGGAGAAAATGACCAGAAGACGGAGGGGACAGAGCGGGGAGGATCCGTGGGTTGGTGGGGGAAAAAAGAGGCAGAAATGGTTGACAATTACAGCCCCAGTAGGGGTGCTATCACGCCCCGGGTCCTCCCTCTCCCCTCAACAGCAGGCTCAGGCTGCAAAGGCTAATTTTGTACATAAAAATGTGTAGCTTTTCCATTTGCATTTAAACAACAAAGGCTTGTGGGTCCCTGAGTCGGGTCATGGGTCACCCCTCCCCCCCGTCCAGTTTTAGACTCTTGGATTGATAAGGGAGAGGGCGCTAAGTTGGAGGTCCCTGAGTGGGGCCCTTCCCCACAGTCGACCACTCATTAGAGGAGAGGCCTCCTGAGGCCGGAGGGGAAGAGGCCATGGTCACAGCCGCAGGAGCCGGGAGAGGAGGAGGAGGAGGGGCAGGGGGAGGCCGGGCCTGGGCCTCGGGGCAGCCACCCCGTGGGCGGGGCCTGAGCAGGTGCTGGGAGCCTCCGAGGCTGGGGGGAGAAGAGAGGGGTTACACCCAGCCGGCTGCTACTCCACTCTCTCTCCGCGCCTCTTTTTCTACCCACTCCTCCCCGCCCCTGCCCGGGCTGGCCCCAGCGTACCGGTGGCGCTGAGTAATTTGGGTAGGAAGCGGTTCCAGAAGGCGCAGGCCTGCGCGCGCAGCCCCCGCCGCACCTCCAGCGGCTGCAGGCTCAGGCTCACGTACTGCTGTGCCCCCACCGTGTACGGTGGCCACTGCGGTGCTTTGGGGTCCCGGGGATCATTGGGGTCTCTGCGGGAGGAAAGGGATGGCTCAGCGCCTTGCAAGCCTGCCCCGCCTCCGGGGGATGGGGATGAGGGATGGGGAGTGGAGATGGAGTAGGAGAGGCAAGGGCTTCCTAACCCTGGACATCTTTAACTCTAGGGAAAACCCCATTCCCCTCCCTCCCACCACCTCCTCAACCCTGTTTTCTTTTCTCCCTTGTCCCCTATGATCAGGGACTCTCCACCTTTCTCCTACCTCCTGCTCTCCCTCTTTTTGTCTGTCTGTCTCTTTCCCTCAGTTTTTCCTCTCCATCTGTTTCTCTCATTAAAAAAAAAAAAAAAAAGCTACCATTTATTGAGCCCTTACTGTGTTTCCAGGCCCAATCCTATCTCTACAAACATCACGTTTACTTTTGGCAGCATCCATTCGAGGCCGGATTTATTGTCCCGCTTCAGGCAAGTAAACTGCTGTGGGGCGGGGGGTGTGTAGTGGGGTGGGGGGAAGGTCACACAGAGAATAAATCAACACAAGTCCAATTTAAGGGGCCCTGGTGGCGCAGTGGTTAAGAGCTCGTCTGCTAACCAAAAGGCTTGGAAATCCTATGGGGCAGTTCTACTCTGTCCTATAGGGTCGCTATGAGTAGGAATCGACTCCAGGGCAACAGGTTCGAGGTTTTTTGGTTTTTTTTTTTTTTTTGGTCCAGTTTAATTCAGCTCTAAAGTTCAGGCTCCTATATTAACTCCTATGTCTTTGTCTCTTTGTTTATCTCTTCTTCACTTTGCCCTTCTCTCCCTCTGTCCTTATCACTTTAGGACTTGCCATCCTGCTTTCCTTTCTCTCTGGGTCTCCCCCTTTATCTTCTTTTCTCCCCCCCCCCCTTTTCTCCTTTTGTTTGTGAATCCATCTCTCCTTTTCTGCCCCTCTGCCTTTCTCTCTGTCTCTGTTCCCCATTGCCTCCCTGGCCCCCAGAGGCCGTCCTCCCCCTCAGCACTGCTGACCCTGTGCGGGCGAAGTTGGCCCAGTATCTCATCAGCCGCTGGGCAAAGATTCTCTCTTCGACGGTGTAGTTTAACGAGGGTTCCAGAGGGAGCCCAAAGATGAACTCGATCTCGTAGCCGTGGGGCACCCCCATCCAGAGGGGCCAGGACAACGTGGAGGCACGGTGGTCAAAGGTGTAGGCATAGACCCGGGCACCCTGGGTGGCCAGTCGCCCAGCCAGCTGGGCCACGGGGCACACCACGTTGTGGTCGCCCACCACATCACTCATTGCCTCCCTAAGGCGCGCTGGGTCTTCAGGGTGCAGCCAGTCTGTGTAATGCAGGACCACAGCCTCGGCCACCAGGTCACTCACCTGGGGGACCCCGACCCGCACCCCGGCCAGGAACTGGGCCCGGCTGATGAGTGACTCGTTGTCTTTGCTGAAGCCTGGGGCCCCGTAAACCAGAAAATAGGAGCCCTCATCCTTCACCACACCCACCAGCACCTGGGGGGACAGGATGAAGGACGGGGGCACAGACAGACAGGCAGACAGAACAAAGAGCCAGAGAGATGAACAGTTATAGACCCAGAACCACAGAGCAAAAGAGTGTGAGATTGGGGAAGGGATGGAGAGAAAGAGAAAATATACCCACATTTCCATTCTTTTGACTACCCTGGGATCTGAGTGTGTTTGTGCCTGAGTCCTCAGGGAGGAGGAGGTAGGAATGGGGGCTGGAAGCCTGAGCCTCTGGAAGTGGGTCTTGAGGAGCCCCCATGCCTGGGTCCCCAGGGGGAAGTGGTGGGTGGGAGAATGGGCCCGAGGAACCGGCTCCACCCTCTCCAGCCACTAGTTACCTGCAGGCCCTGGAAGTCTCCAGCGTTGATGAGGGCCTCAGGCGTGTCACTGAGGAAGTCTCCGTCTACCACAGGCACAAAGGAGAAGCGGAAGACACTTTCTTGAGGCAGTACGCTCCACTCATGGTCAACCAGATCCTGGGCTGGCCGTGTTCGTAGGCAGGCCACCAGCTCTGTGTCATTGCCACCAGTGCTGCCCGGGGGACAGCCTACGAAACGAGCCAGCCGTGTGGCTCTGCGGCGGGCCTCTCCCACGCCTACAGTGGCCCAGGGCCCATTGGGTGCCCCACTTTGCAGCACAGCCCTGTGGAACAGGCCCCGGCTGGGAGGCGACAGCAGGTGCATGCCCACAGAGGCGGCACCTGCGCTCTCCCCAAATAATGTCACTGACATCGGGTCACCCCCAAAGGCTGCCACATTCTCCTGCACCCACTGCAGTGCCAGCCTCTGATCCAGTAGACCCATGTTTCCTGGGGCCTCCCGGCTCCCGGGCAGGGCCAGGAAACCAAAGGCTCCCACCCGGTAGTTCATGGACACCAACACAGTCCCCTCGGCCTGTGCCAGGAAGCGGCCATCATACACGTCCAGAGACGAAGCCCCGCTGTAAAAGCCACCCCCATAGATCCAGACGAGGACAGGGGTGGGGGATGCAGGCTGGGGGTATGGTGTCCACACGTTGAGGTAGAGGCAGTCCTCGCTCAGCTCACGGTTGGGGTTCCACATCTCGGTGCCTTCAAAGCCAGGGTACAGGGTGTCCACGTATTGGTAACAGACACTCTGGAAAGCCTTGACGTCCAGCACTCCTGCCCAGGGCCGCTTGGGCTCTGGTGGCAGAAAACGACGGGGGCCCACGGGTGGCTCCGCAAAGGGGATGCCCAGAAAAGCAGAGACAGGGCCCCCAGGGGCCATTAGGCGGATGCCCCGCAGCCGGCCCCCACGCACGGTCACCAGTAGCTCTCGGTCCTCCAAGTCCTCAGCCCCTGCACCTCCTCCAAGGAGGAAGAGGAGGAGGAGAAGGAGTGGGGAAGCCAGGGAGGGCGTATGCAGGGGACACCATGGGGGCTGCATGGCTGCCAGGGCAGGCAGGTGTCTGTTGGGAGAAAAAAAGGCAAAGGGTGAAGGCCTGAGGCAACCCGGAGGGAGGAGATTGGGTAACACTCTTGTCCAAGGGTTATCACTGAGCTGCAGAGGAGGTGGGGCAGGTTAGCAGAAAGGAGGAGATAAATGGAGGGAGGGAGACAAGCAGAG